CTTATTGCTATAAAGTAGGTCAAGGTAATACTGACACAGTAATTATATCTTTGAATGAATATCTTGTTTGAGATATAAGTATTGTTATTTTTTTATTATTGTTATTTACACACAAGACTTTTTAAAGATGATAAATGTGAATATAGTTATTAGTTTGGTATTTCTCTACTGCCATACACTAAAATATTTTTACAATATACCCATGATGTGCCCTTAAGGTCTAGTAAAACACACATTTATACGTATGTTAAATCACTTCCCAATGTAATACATGACAGTAATACACCAGCCAATTCTTTTCTTTTGAGACTACAGAATGTCAAACGGCACTTTTAAAGGTCGACCGAACACATATATGAAATGTCACCTCGCAGACAGGCATATCGTGCGGGACACTGCTGACACTGTGAGCGGTCAGTGAGGTCTGTGCGATTGCTCAGTGTTCCCGGTGGGCATGCGTTGGTTGGTGCGTTGGGTTTGGAGGAACCAGGAGGGCACACAAACCTGTCAGGATTCAGACAAATTAATCAAAGTCATAAAGCACAGCAATGCACAGGCAGATTGAAACTTCCTCTGTGACAGTGTGCTGAAGCTTCAGCACTTATCCATGTATTGGAAACACAGATTTCAGAAGCTTTTCTTGACTCTGACGACGTTACTTACCCTTGCATGCAGTCCACATCCGGGGCTCTCAGCGCTACCTGTGTGCAGGCTTTTCCTGCATAACACTCTCTGCAATCAGCCAACTCATCCTGACCCTCTAAGGGATTGAAGGAGCCTGGTGGACAGGGCTTTGGGTCACTTGTCCCCTCAGGACAGTAAAAACCAGCAGGGCATTTGAGGCAATCCTTCACACCTGGAGGGAGTAGTTGCCATGCCAAGAAGAATACAGGGTTAAAGCTCTGCTTTGATCTACTCCATTAGGAAGTCTGTTAGACTCATTTAAAGGTATCACTTTGAGATTTTGCCAGCTACCCCTTCTCTACACTCACTGCTCATGTAGCTGTGACAGTCATCTGTCATTTTTTTTTCTGCAGGGAACTCACTGCTCCAGCTTGCCATCAACTGTTGTTGTTTTTAGTTGCTAAATTAGATGCTCTCTCTTTGCCCTCTCAGCATCAATCTGTTGCAATTTCTCATCCATATATTCCAGGTTATCGTGGGAACTAACACTTATATTTTTATATAATCACTGAATTTTGCGATGATAAAGTGATATAGCATCATATTAGTTATGGTGAGCTTTTAAGGGACTGTGTTTTAAATTAATGGCAAACCGGGCTTTATGTTCGGTGTAGGAAAATCAGTGAATGTGAATATAAAACCTTACCTGAAGAGTGGTGAGCATAAAACAATGATAACATACAAACTCACTTATTGCTCCTTGATGAGGTGTGAAGGTGCCTGGAGGACATATTGCTTCTTCCAAGGTACCAGCAGGGCAATATCTACCCCGAGCACATGGCAAGCCAGGACCTGATGAGCCTGTCACACAGACACACATATGCACATACTTTAATGAAAAGGAACACTGGGCACAGTGCCTTCTGCAGTGAACTTCTGCTGCTGCTAAAACCCATCTTCATTTCATGTTCTTTCTTCTTGTATGGATGTAGTTACTTTCTAGGACACGTTGTTTTTTTGCATTTCAGTATTTGTGGCTCCAATGAAGTCAGTGTAATAGTGCTAAGACTTACCTGCAGGACAGAAGCGTCCTTCTCTACATCTCTTGCAGGCTGCCCTACTTGTCTGACCCAGTTGTTCCCCCGCTGTACCAGCAGGGCAAGGTGACCCATGAGGGGTGGCAGTGCCCTCTTCACAGTAATAGCCCTGTGGGCACAGGAACGGGGAGGTGGGTCTCTGTGAGCTACCTTCCAGACAGTAAAACCCTAGAGGAAAGTATTTATAGAGAAAAGGGACATTGTTATGGGATGGCATATATGGTAAAAGCATGCAAAACAAGTCGGTGGTATAATTGGAGTATTGGGCTTAAGAAACTTGCAGGAAAGTTCATGAGTAGAGTGACATGATTTTCTGCACCTATTATAGTCTTTGGACATGAAACCTTTAAAGACTATAGAAACACTCTACCTGCAGGACAAATTGTGCAGTCTCTCAATCTCTGCAGACCTTCTTTAGGGCCATAAGTCCCAGCAGGACAAGGTAAAGCCACACCTCCCACACAGTAATGACCTGCAGAGAAGACATGTACAATTACATGTTAGGTTCCTTCCTGAAGCAAAGGAAACTGTAGCAAAATGCAGAAATAATCACTAACCTATTGGACAGACCACACAAGCTGAATCTTCTTTCATGTCTTTGTATGTTCCTGGTCGACAGGTGATGGTTTGACTAGACCTGTGCACTGGCTGGCTCCAGCGGGGGGCCATAGCTCCTCCACACAGTAGAGACGTATCATTACAGCTACGACAGTAAGTCTGTCCAGATGTGGAAGACCAGCCAGAAGGACAAGGGAGTGGCTGGGGCATCCCACTATCTGGGCAGTAACTTCCTATGGCAGGTGGAGGATACTATTTTAATATTTGTGGGACATTTTTTGTCACAAATTAAATTATTTGTTTTCAGTCTACTTATATATAAAGTACAGTGTAGGTGCAGATAAGATACGGTCACGATGCTGCGCTACCTGCTGGACACTGCAGACACTGAATAGTGCACACAGTGGAATAGAAGCCTGGGGGACAGTCATTACACACAGTGTGATCAGCGCTGGGCTCCTGGCCAGGCGCACACTGTAAGGCACATATAAGACACAGACAAAGGAGAAAAAGGGGGAAAAAGCATATGGCTTTAACTACTAAGACACACCATTAACAACCTTTTTTTTTTGACAAACAAGAAGTTTTTTCTCTCAAATACAATACATTTTTAGGGGAACTGAGTTTGTCCGCTATTGCTAATCATGACCTTATAAGGAAATCCAGAGGTGCAGACAGAATCTACAGGACAGGTTAGACACTGCAGCACCCCTTCAGGTGAATGTCGTCCTGGGGGGCATAAAGAAAGCGTCCCATTGGCTGGATTGCACGAGAAGCCCGCAGGACACAGTCTACAGTCCACTCTGTCCTCTGAACTGATCAGACCTGGGAAGCAAGGCTGCAACATAAAGGAATGAGCAATAGGATCATACATAGAGACTATAAAATTACTATGTGATTAAATAAATGTTGCATTGCACACTAACAATTTCTGGCAAAGATTTCTCTTTGATGTTATTGTGTTCACACAGGTTTTTCTTGCTAGTGACAAGTTGAAAATGTGAAAAGAGCCTATGTGTCTGAATCACTGTGAAGAAAGACAATAGAGTGAAACATGCAATTTCTTTGACTTTCAAAGGAGGATGTGACACAAAGACTATGACAGTGTTCTTTTAATCCACAAGTGTCTTTTACCTTGCAGTCACTGATGCTGCTTTTCCCCGTGTAGAGGTTGAATGCTCCTGCTGGACATCTATGAGGTGCCGACACATTTCCAGGGCAACTATAAAATAGAAATCTGTTGGTTTATTTTCTATATTACAGCTAAATGTCTCACTTGTGGTGATCATACACATTTTTGCATTTGCATTTCATTTTAAATTCTCACACACAATTCTTCAAAGGAGCAGAACAATATCTCTTTTTTCATCTCATCTATGCACTTTCGTTAGTGCACATAGTAAACAAATAAAGATCCAACGATTCAAAGATGACTTACAAATGACCAGAGGGACACTCCAAACAAAGCTGGCGGGAGAAGTATTTTCCTTCTGGACACCGATCACGGTCTGCCTCTTCACTGAGGGGGAGGTCTGCACTCCCTTCAGATGATTCTTACATAATATATAAATTAAAGTCAGGAATATCGTAGATGTCTGTCCTTAGGCAGTGTCAATGTGGTCTTGTCTCTTCTTAAATTTAACCAAATATACTGTAAAAACACAATGTTAAACTTTGGTTATTTTTCTTACCTGATGCGAGCCCAGATTGTGTGAGCAGCAGAAAAATCCATGAAGCTGAAAAACAGAACAGATGCATTACTTTCCATGAGCTCATTGTCGCCAAATCTCTAATCAAGCGCACAAGCAAGCAAGAAACAAGTAAGTTTCATTTGTTTTTGTGCATTTTCATTAAAGACTGTTTGGTCTGTGCCCACATGAATGATTGTTTAGAGGCATGAAAGTGAGAGGCCCTCAGCCACTGAAAGTGAAACGAGCTCGAAATGTGATTCTCAGGTGGTTGCTCTGGCTGACAATGGTGTGCAATGATGTTCTGTAACTTTATCTTCTACTTTCATAATGCATGAGCGCCAAAGCTAACCTAGATAGTGTGTCTGTTAGTGGATCACTTTAATTATTTATGTCACTCTTGTAAGTCATTAAGAGGTTATTACGGAGAAACATATTTAAAAAATATTAAAATTAGGATATCAGGAATCGACCTATTTAGCTAAAAAAAAAAAATGCTTCCATTAAATGTTAGCATTAAAGGCTTTATCACAAAGGACTAATGTGAAATGCTTTATCAGAAAAGACCCATTGCGTTTTTGAAGGGTGAGGATTTCAGAATAAATTATTAAATTACAGTGTAAAATGAATGTCAAACACATCCTCTGCCGAAGCAGAAAGTGAGCTGCAGTGGGGTATCTGCAGGCATATGTGCAGACTGCATTGGCATGTGCTGCAGCCTTTTTTTTAAGCCAGGTGCCAAGTGCATGCATCACAAAATCAATGCATAAGCAAAAAAAACTAATCTTTATTTAAATATGTTGGTGTGAATATCATCATCTTTCCAAAATGCATTTGCCCTTTATATTTGCAATTGTAATTTACTTTGCAGGAAGTCATGTGCAATAAATGGAAAGTTATGAATTATTTTTACACAGCTCTACACTGTAATTTTGCACTTACCACTTCCTGTGCAAACCAAGGGTTGGAAAATATATGTGAGCACGTCAGTGGGTTTGTGCAGGTGCAACCGCTGCCATACTACTAGAAATATTCAGTTGCTTGTTTTGAAGAAAGAAGAAATTAGTAAAACAGAGAACAACAATGAAGATCTCAGTCCACTTCACCTTACTCGTTTTTTGGTTGGCACGAGGTACAGTATTCATGTTGTTTGTGATTGCTATGGATTTTTAGCAGTTTAGAGTGTTAAACATGTACTCACATATCCGAAAATGCAGTCAGTTGTAAAAATTGTGTTTTGTATGACAGGCAGCATAATGTTTTCTTTCTGTAAAGTAGTTAAGAGGTTTTCTCTTTGCAGATTTTGCGAGCTGTGTTAATATGAAGACGCCCGTTGATTTCTTGACTGTAGAACTGGGAGACTCTCCTACATTAAACTGCACCTACAATTGCTCCGCTGGATTTGTTCGTGGTTGTTGGAGTTATGCAGACAACTCCGGTTGTCAAGGGACATTGAGCAAAAGCAACTTTTGCACAATGTCTCTTCATCTATCAAATGTGTCCACTGAAGATCTCAGAAAGAACTACACATGCTACACAGTAGATACAGACGACCCTCTACTTCCACAAAAAACTATGCGTATCGTTATACTTCAACTTCAAGGTAGATTAATTTTATTATATGCAAATCAAGATACAGATATAGCTAGTGAAACTTAAACATACAGAAGTAAACAATTACAATTTTTCAATGTTTTTGTTTAATTTTTCTAGCTCAGAGTGACCCAAACTGGACAGTCAACCCGAGGACTGAAACAAAAAATGGTGAGGAACTGTGTTTAAGGATGTTATTCATATAATATTACACATATTTTTATTTTTGTACCATTATATTTAATTAATACCATGTGATCTACATTTTTCAGCATCTCTTCCAACTCAGCCAAACAGTTCAAGTGGAGGTATGAAGGCTCTTAGAAACACTGCTTATATGCTGATAATTATTTACAAGTAACGTTTTCCTTTCTGTCCAATGCAATCCAGGTTAATCTTGTTGTTTCCATGTTAACAGGAGAATTTACTGGAATTAAGGTTCTTGCAACTGTTACAGTTTTAGTGGCCACAGTTCTTGCAGCACTGGCTGTTTATCTGTGTTTGAACCGGAGCAAACAGAGCTGGAATGGTAAAGGTGATTATGAAATATTATAGTTTGAACACGCATTTGCTGTAAAAAGCAGTAAACACAAATTTATCTCGACAGCATTGTACTGACGATGTTATGTATTCTAGGGGAGCCCATTGTGTCAAGATTGAGTGTGAGTACCAGGTGAGTAAATTTAGAGAAACGCACTTTTGTTAACTCTTCGCTGAATTGCCTTTAAAAATTTTCAAAATATTTTATTTGTTAATTTCTTTATCGGCTCTTTTTTCAGCTCACCACAACCTCCACACGCTGTTCTCCTCCCAGTGAAGGGTAAGCAGTTTAGAATATCAGAGGTAAGAGGAAAGATTCTCAGCTTCCAAACTAATTCCTGGCATTTATATCTGTCAAATTTTCTAGGGACACAGTCGACACAAAATGAAAGAGTGACTCTGAGGATTCCTCAAGCAGGTAAGGAGATCTCTCAGCAGTACCAGCACACTTCTTTTCTAAGTGACTATTACTGATAAATTGAATAATTTCTCTGACTCAGATAATGACAGTGATACTGAGGTTCCATATGCCGACATAATGATCACTGTTCGTGGCGTCAGCACACCGGAGCTCACTCAGGTTGGCTACTTGGCTGCCGGGGATCAAAAAGAGGTGAGAGAGGAGACTTCAAAGTCAGCACATTTGTCACTTTTATCCAACTGAGGCCCAAATTCACATGACAACTTATTCTCCGCTGTCCTAGGAGCAGGTCTTTGCTCCATAGATCATATACCTGTACATGACTCTAAAGCTGGCACAGAAAATGTACGAAACTGCCACTGCGATGGCTTATAGTTTATGGCTGTTGATGCTGCACAAGGAGGCTCAATGTGTGCCTGCAATATAAAAGCTTCAGTGAATGAAAGGGTACTTCGCCATGCTTCAAAGCCAGCTCAAGGCTCAGATGAAAAATAGGGCTTTAGAGAGCATCGGTCACGTCGCCAAACAAGACACTTTAAAACATCTACTCATTATTTTATCATAGAACTACTTAAGTTTTACTTTACCTATTAATTTATTTCATTTATTTTATTTTTTTTACTTTACCTATTTATACAGTTTGCACATTTCATTATAAAAGGGATGGAATTGCATAAATAAACTAACCTCCAGTATCACCACAGCACGATGAAGCCAGGTTTGGTTTGTCAGGGTATTAAAATTAGATGTTTTCCGTCACGACATCAACTGACAATGTAATTTAAACATCCTGCATTTATATACACTACAGTACTATTAATGTTTATTGAATGTTTGGAGTACCATTTTGCCCCGTCTTTATGAACTTTTCTCATATTGTTTGATTATCGATGTAAAAGAGGATATTATTTGTTAGAATTTAAGGTTGTTTTTAGGATTTATGGAGACTTTCTGAACCTGGATGTATCATCAGTAAACTCACAGGGTTAGTTGCCTATTTGTCGTTTTTTTAAATTTTATGGTAGAAACTACTACATGATGAATGCAGAATTTATTTCAGAGGGGTTAGAGTACAATGTATGAGTTTAGTTAGATTTACCTGTTAAACTGGCAATTGTTTAAAGGTTTTAAACAAATATAATTTTTAATTGATTTTAATGCTGTCTGCATATTTGCATACTGCAGGGTATACATGAAAACCTAATAAGCTGTTTTTGAGTAAAATAAGTGGATACTTAATGTTAATGTGTTGCTGCTACTTTTAAATACATCACATAAAACAACCATTATGTTAGTAACGCTGATAATAATATCTATGAGCACTAAGGGAAGGCTGAGCTATTCTTGCAATTCCCAACATGCTACATTAGTTCTTCTCTGCTTCCAGTGGTGGGGAGATGAATCAAGGTCCCACCTGCAGGCCTCACGTTCTGCCGACAGACTGCATGTGCCTCAGTCCAGAGAGGTCAGCCGCAAGATGAGCACCAACTCTGAGTATGCAGTCATCACATATGCCTGACTGAGGTTGCTGCTGCAAGAGGAGGAGAAAAAAAAAGAACACCTCTGGTTTCCTTATATGAGTATTTACACCAGTGGGGTTGTTAGGCCTGGGTATCTGAGGCTTTAACCCTGAATGTTTTATGAATATCCCCCAAGTTTTTCTGTTTGCTTGCTTGGTTGGTTGGTTGGTTGGTTGGTTGGTTATCCAAAGTTAAGAATAATTGTCAAAAAAAAATAGCTGTGGATCTATTCATGTCATTTCAGTCATGCTCAAATAATCAATCATGGCTTCATAGTATTCAATAATGTTATGGCATAGCTGATCAAAAATACTTATATATTATTTTACTGTTCAAAAAACTCTGATCTGTTTGCTAAATATTTTTCTGTCACATCAACAGTTTAAACATTGAAATTTCTCTGTGTTACAGTCTCACAGTAGGATATTTACAGAATTGACATGATGAGAATTGGTGCTTCTCATAACTACATTTAATCACAAAAGTAACTAAATTTGGCAACAGGTGGCCAAGCAGCAACCAAAACACATTTGATTGTTTTACTGTAAACTGCTGTAAGTTGTTCTGATTAGTGTTATTTATTTGAGGATATTGTGTTACTGGACTTTACAGGTGAACGTTTTCACCTCAACAGCCCCAGCATCTCTATTTAAAGGGTCAGTCACCCAAATCACTATTAAATCGAATTTTTGAAAAATAGTTCCACAGCATATCTTTACGTGTAAATATGACTGTAACTATAACTGTGGAAATCATCATGAATTAGACCAATTATAAGGCAAACAATTTGAACCACTGGTCTAGCAATCTTACACTCTCTGTGATATTAAATTTAAACATGGGCTAAGCATAGAAAGAACGTGGGATGACCTCACTTTGTCTGGAGCAGTGCTTCATAATGTGTGTACATTTTACATTTCATTGTGAAATAACTTCAGAATGGGGCACAGCCCCCACAATGTGCCAAGATCCCAACAACTTCATGCTTTACAAGATGCCTTTTTTGATACTTTTTAAAAAATGTACTTCTTATATCGTTATGCTTGCGTATACCTTAGCGTGTGATTTGTGTATAATGAATATTTACATTAATAAAGCCATTATTTCTTCTGAGTTTTATGGCGTTTGGGCTTTCTCGGTATCCGTAGTTAGATCCGTTGCTTAGAAACAGACATCAACAAAACACAGCGGTTACTGTTGTTAGATTTAGCCAAACATTCAAGAGTAGCTAAAGGTGGACACGAAGTGCAAGTACTTCCAGGTAAGAAATTCCTTGTGTCGTGACATTTTATTTATTTATTTATTTCAATCTCACTCGAAATTGTCGTTTAAGTGGCGTGGCGGCCATATTTAAGTACAAACGCTGAGGAAGCTAACGTTGTTTAGAAGGTATTAGCTAGCTACTCACCTCTTCTACGCTACACATCAGGAATTCAGCAAATTACTGAGAAAATGTCGATTTTTCCCAGTCAAATCAAGCTGTCACGAAGGTTACAGCCCCCCTCCAAATAAAATGTCAGTGCCCTTCTCCAACACTCACCTGCGGGTCCCACGAGGGTTTGGTGCCGTCCTGGAGGGACTGGCCCGAGAAGTCCTGCGAGACCAGCCAGAAGACATCCCCACATATGCTGCACACTACTTCGAAACTCTTCTCAAGCAAAGAGAAGGTAACTGTAACTTTTATAGGTGATGAAATGCCATAGACTGCTGTCAAATATTTGTCCTCCTTTTCTCTTCTGGCAGAGACTGGCATGGACCCTGGTGAATGGGCTGCTAAACTGGAGGACAGGTTCTACAACAACCATGCATTCACCTCTGAGGTACAAAATTAATCTGCAGTACAAACTTTGGTTTTAAGCCACTGTTCTCTTCATACTTACACATTTTGTTTCTGTTTATCAATTGCTCTCTACTTACTGTCATGGATTTGTTGTATTTATCCCCCAGACTGGTCCTGAAAAAGAACCACCAGCAGAAGTGACCACATCCAAGTGAGTGTTCCCTTAATGTGCAGCCAGGATCATCAGCAGAGGGAGAGGATGAGCATGAGGGACAGAGCAGTGACAAGTAGTGAAGAAAATACAGCATTATTTTTTCATGTTTATTACTAAAAGGTTTGTTGGAGTCATTTGGTGTGAGGTTATTTCTGTATACAAGGTTGTCATTTTTGTTCTGATTAAGAAAACTATAAAAATAGAAGAAGTAGAGAAACAACAGTGACAATGCAAATTTACCTAGCAAGTTTAAATATTAAGGTTTAAACCCTACAGGATTATTTATGATGTGAATTCACCAGAATGATAATGATAATAATAATACTTATAAAGTGCTTTCCAAGACACTCAAAAATACTTTAGAAAGTAGGCAAGAACACAAAAGATAAATGTAGAAAATGGAGAAAGGGAAATATAGGAAAATGGGTTATTAGTTGTAGGCAGTGTTGAAAAGATGTGTCTTTATAGATTTCTTGAATATGGAGAGTGAGATGGATTCTCTGATGCTTATTGAGAATGAGACAAACAGAAACAAAAAAGATCACAGAAGTACTGGACCAAATGTGAGGAAAAGTGGCCACAAATCAGACCTGTGCAGCCTCAGATTTAGAGATAACTTAAGAATAAAAGACATGTATTATTGCAATGGCACTTAGTAGAGGTTTTAATATACATGAATTGTTCCATTCTCCTAGAGGTAGTTGTTTTTCAAAGGTCAGTAAATATTTTTTGTGCATTTATTTAAGTCATGTATATATTTAATACAAAAATGCAACAGCATATATTAAGTTGTCATTGTGTAATGCGGTCCAGTCTCATGCTTCAACTTTTCAGAGAGCTCCAAGTAAAAAGCCTTTCAAGTGAAAATACCTTGTGGAATAAAGGCCCGGAAGTAGTGCAGAGATTCAGCTCAGCACTAAAAGCACTGTTAGATTTGCAGTGTCAAGGTTGAGAAGAAAGAGCAGAACTGATGGAGATGAGACCGCCAGCTGCAGGAATACAGTCACAGGTTACAGCTGAATGTGATGTTTTGACAGAGCAACACTGTTATCATTCAGAATGTCTCTTGCCATATTCAGCATTACTCACATCAGTTCTTTCACGCTATTTTGTACTTTTTAGAGAAAAATCAGATGAATCTCAACCTGAAGACGAGTCGAGTCATTCAGCGGAAGCCTCAAATCTTTCCACCGCACAACCCTATGTATCTGAAAAGGCTGATTTAACTGAAAGCACAGATGAAGAAGAAAAACTCAACATTACAGAGAAACACACTACTTCAGTGGAAACAGAACTTTCTGAAGAGGAGCCACTTAACAGGTTCCCAAATGCTGATATACAGTCAGGTGAACAGAGCGGTACAAAAGAGGAGAAAGACACAGCAATAACTGCAGTTGATCAAATAGACAGGGCAGCTAAGGAAACAGAAGGTAGCTCTGTTCCAGACCAAAATACACCACAGTCTGAGTTAGAGCCCACTGACCCGTTGCCATTTAGAGGAATTTCAAATGAAGATGTGCACACTCAGGACTTAGGAGTTGGGAAAGATGAAGGAGGTGTTGAACAAGAAACTGCACATGTCGATAAGGAGACTCTAGTAGAAGAGGAGAATGATGAAGTTGCAGAACCAGTGGAGATTTTTCCATATTCCGGCCTTGCTGATGTGGATGTGTGTGCTCAGGAGCTAGGAGTGGAAAAAGATGAAGGAGGTGATAAACAAGATACTGAAGGTGTGGATAAGGAGACTATAGAAGTAGAGGTAAATACTGAAGTTGCAGAACCTGTTGAGATTTTCCCATATTCTGGACTTGCTGATGTGGATGTGTGCGCTGCAGAGCTGGGAGGAACAGAGACAACAATGAAAGGAGAAGCTGAAGATGATACGGCTGTTGTTAAAGAGGAGGAAAGTTTAAGACCCCTGCCTGAGGAAAGTGTTGCAGATTCGGCAATGTCTCAATCTGAAATCACAGAGGGCAACCAACAAGAGGCAGAAGATCAGGCAGAAAAAACAAAGGAGGAGGAAGGAACAGAGACTGAAGCTTCTTCTGGGAAAACACATGAAAGTTTAGCTCATATTGAGGGAAGTTTAGATGGTAATATTATACCAAAAGAGGATTCTTTGGTTGAGATTAGCTTTGAAGATGTTCCAGAGGCTCAGCAGATTAATGAGAAACAGCCAGAGGAAGAGGGTTCAGTCGATGTCTCACAGACTGAGATATTAGAAATGCAACATGAGGAAGAGCCCAAGGTGCTTAGTGCAAGTGCAACAAGCCAAAATATAGCTGATACAGAAGACCACCATAAACCTGAAATAGAGGGATTCGAAAAGGATGTTAACTCTGAAGCAGAGGAAATGGAAAGTCAGCATGAGGCATACGATGTAATGAAAGAAAGGGTGCACACAAATGACTCTACTTTAAGTGACAATGATGATGAGAAGAAAGAAAAAGAGGTTAAAAACATCAGCTCATCAGATCAGCCCACCACTGAGACAGAAAAGGAGAACCAAGACGACAAAAGTGATTGTAGAAATGAAGATAGCGAGAAGATAAGCAACAGAAAATCTCACCAGAATGAGGATTCTGAAACAGAGCCGCAGTCAAATGACCCTAATTTTAAAGAGGATGAGACGACAGACGCAGTGGGAGGAGATGAAGAAGAAATATATACAGAAGGTTGCAGTGAGATGGAGGATCAAGAAATTAATGATGGTGGGGCAAAAAATAATTCATCACAAGTAACCCAGTCAAATACATCAATGACTGGAATGGTGGCAGAGAATGAAAGATTTGAGGAAGGCACACTACTTCTTCCAGAGGAGAGTCAGAGAACACTTGTAGAGTCACAGCCAGAGGGCACAGTGGAAGAAAAAGAGGTCACATCAAAGGACACAGAGGAACTTACAGAAGGAATGATTGATTCTGAAGTACACGAGGAAAGTGACATAATGCAAGGAGAGGAGAACATCAGCCTTTCTCGTGGTGCTGATTGGTCAACTTCTGGCCTCCAAGGAGAGGAAAAGCCACCCGAGGTAGAGGACACCACAGAGCCTGCAGACAAGAGTAGCGAAAAGGTAATTGCAATTATTCTTCTCAGTGCTGAATGCGAAAGATGAGTCATCCCTTTTATTTCGCACATTTCTTTTATGCCTCAAAATTCTAAATGAACATTATTACACTGATAAAATATCCCCGAGTGTTTACCATTTGGTGCCATGAATTGAATATAACAGACGCTGTATCATCTCACTTCATCTCCTACACATTCATCAGCAGACTGAGGCTAAATGTTTGAGACAGAGATGGCTTTAGGTAGGCTACAGTCTGCTCTGCTTCCATTCCTGTCTCAGGTAGCCTATATAAATAAACCCTTCAAGGACGAGCCCGATCAACACTGGCCTTTTTTTTTTTTTTCCTCCCCTGGACTCTCTGGGGGTAGGTGATTGAAAATATCTCCAAAATAGTTCATTTTCCGGATGACGTATGGTGGTTGTCATTGACTATCACCTTAACTGAAATGTACAGAAATTTCTGTCTCAAAGTTGAGCCTAATATCCGTCTGTGTCAAAATATGAGCTTTCACTCCCCCCCTCCCCACATGCTCATAAAAACTGTAATACAGCAGCTTTTTTAGCATCGGATCAACGCTCCTCTCGGGAGCCTCTGCAGCCTCCGCAGATTGATACTTGATTCGGTGATCTATCATCATAAAAGACTGACGAAACAATTTGTGAATTAGGCCTCTAACATCTTCACTGCTGTCACAGTTAGCCTCGTCTGATTTGTCTGGACCAAGAGAGCTCCAAACACACAGGGAGGGAGTGTAGGAAGGGGTACTGAGAATGTTACTATGGTAACCCCTCACCATCCTGCTCTCTCTAAGTGTCGTCATGGAATTAATAGGAGATGGTGATGCTGATAGTTGCTAGGCACCCTCTGTATCAGTAATCTACCTTTAATAGCAGTTTCTACCTGACTGATTAAACAGTAAAATATCACTTTCTGTGTTTTTTTGTTATGCGCTTACTCAATGGTAGCATTTATTTCAGCTGAAACAAAACCGCTATAAAACTGTACAGTATGTAGGCCATCTATTCTAACAGTGAAGTAGCAGCACTATCGCAGATGCCTTGCCTTTTTTTTTTTTAACTTCTACGCCTTTAATTCTCTGCCTTCAAGTGCCCACAGTGATATTCCTATTCCTTAATTATCTTAAGTGGATTATTACTGTGTTAGATACACTAATGATGAAGATAACATGGCACTAACTGTCTAATGATTCATTGCAAGCAGATTTAATTACACAGTGATTATAATTCTCCATAAATAAACAAAGTGAACTGATTGATAAAGCCAGCCAGCTCGGTGGAATCAGGCGTGTGCATAACTTAACTGTTTGAATGGTTAGCAAAGCAGCAGGAGTGCATTAATGTCAGAGATATAACTCAGATAAATGGATGTTTTCTGTTTCTCTCTCTCTCTCTCTCTCTCNTCTCTCTCTCCCTCTCTCTCTCTCTCTCCGTCTTGTCTCTGAGGCTGGCAGAGGAGTGTGGGCGGCCATACCAGCTGGGATCAGAGGGATGGAGAGGGCTGTTAGCTCACTCTGCCTCTAATAAATTTATAACACCTCCTAGTGTAAAATAGTCCAAGATGCTTACACAGTTTTATTTTCACACTATTAGTGGAATTTGAAAGTCAGCAATTATTGTTTTCTGACCATCTGGCTTTTCCATAGTATTTCTATGTTGGTCATTTGTGTTTATTTGTGGAGTTTATTATTGTAACACTGCAACTTGTGAGTTTTCATGATGCTCGATGCATTCGGTAGTCCCTTTTCTCTGATTCACATCGAGACTGCATGAGTTTCACCTGTGAAAAAATGGTCCGAACTTTAAATGGCTGAAAGAGAAATGCGCAGATGTGCCTGTTTCGGTTAGTTGGGTCTTCAGGTTGCACTCTGTGAACGTTGAGGTCTGTTAAAGGTTTATAACAGTAAAATGAACACAGTAGGTCAGCAACCTTAATGAGCCTGAAAAGATGGAACACATGCTGTTATGTTTGTAGGAGGTCTCTCTTTCTCTCCCTCCCTCTTTCTCTCTTCCTCTCTCTCTCACTCTGTGCGTGAGCGGGTGTTACTGAACATACAGTGATTGTTAGTAAGAGCCAGTGAGGCATCTGTATTTTACCGGAGACTCATTTAAAGAGAGCTTTGCTTGGTCCACATAGAAATTGAGGCGCACAAGTCATATTAGGTCAACTCACCCGAAGACTGAAGCCATCTCTGAGAGTGAGAAATGGACTGTCACAATGTAAGTAGAAGCTTCAGATTAACTTTTTTTAAAAATACATTTTTAACCACTTCTCATTTTTATCAGTAGATTCAGATTTGGATAATACAATTTGTTAGTTATTAATGTTAGTTGCTGGTGTTTGGTTGTCTTCGTATAGCATACTGCTTTGTGTTCTTTTTGTCTGTTCAATTACAGTGCAATATTTACCTTATGTGGATTTATGACTCTCAAATAGTGATTCTTTTTACAGGCCTATTATTTATTTATTTTTTAAAGGCTATTTACATCAGAAGTGGATAATATGACCTAAGATTTGCATCAGAATATTTCAAATCAGTCTGTGTCAGATTCAGTCTAAGGACCCCTGTGGCAATAAATACAATCAGACCCCTGAGAAGGTGTGTTGCCAAAAAAAAATCCAGTGCAGCACCCCTGAATCTCTGTTGCTGCGAAAGAGCTGGAATCTGGCTGCTCAGTGAGCAGTCAGACAGAGAGGCTAATGAATGCTGGCTGAACAGGTGGGTGGTCACACTCCTACACTGGAGGGGTTTCACTGGAGACATGATGCACAGCTTCAGCGAGGCAGTGGGATGACAGTGGGATCGTTCAGTGGGCTGCCTTTGTGTGAAATGTCAGTCTGTTACCATAAGCAAAGCACGGGGTGTAGCTGATATGTGTTCGCCACACAATTTGAATTGGTGTTTACATAACTTGTCGACAGCCTTGGCAATGTTCCACTGACAGTTTGTGACAAGCCAGAATTTCTCTTCTACCCACCCCACGTTTCCTTTGGGACGGCGGATTCTGTCCTCTCAGTGTCTGAAATGTGCAGCCGGTGCGACTGCAGCAATATTTTCGCTGGGTCATCTTTTTTGGCCGAATGTCGCAAAGCAAGAAGTTTGTTTGTTTTTTTGTTTTTTTTTTGTTCCCCTGAGAGATTACTTTAAGCCTAACCCTTTTCAACTATGAAATCAGTTTGTTTGAAAGTGTACGAAATACCTTTTAAATATTCCAACATGCAGCAATCTTGTACACCAACCTGGTTTCTTTGTGCGATTATTGCTCAGTTTTGAAATCCGTAGTTCTGCTAAATGTCAAATTCTGTGGCTTTTCTCAACCTTTCCTATAGTAAAAAATAAAAATAAAAACGGTGAACAGTGGTAACCCACTACAAAACAGACTGACTCAAACCAGCAGTGTTTTGTACAGTTCATGACGAGAGGAGAAAGAGCGAGGAAAAAGCAGTGAAAGTGGGGTATTGACCTCCTGAGAACTCCACTGAAGTCATGAAATAGGGGCGAGCCACTCTGCAAGCACAAAAAACAAACTCCTTTACAGTTAACGTCACAAAAAATGGTATATACAGTCTGAGACTTTCGCAGCGTTTCATAAAGAAAACATCCCTGCATGATCATGTCATTTGCTCTCCCACTGCGATCAGCTACTACCTTGTGGTCCATCAACAGGAGGAGTGCAGCCGGCCCCAAGAGGAGGAGGACATCATGGACATTCCTCTGGATGACCCCGAGGCCAACAGGGCTGCCGCCAAGATCCAGGCTGGGTTCCGTGGCCACATGACCCGCAAGAAGATGAAGCCGGAGGACAAAGCAGAGGGGGAGGAGGTGAGCAGCACTGGGGATGTGCTCAACGGCAGCCAGGGGGACTCAGGTCAGTGGTGTAGAACCAAGGGATAAGATAAGTCCCATAATGCCAGTAAAGAGGGCATTATGGCTAGTGACTATGGTAAGAGAGGCTCCCATCAGGAGCTGTAGCCGCACTAGATGACCTAAGGTAAGTGTTGGGGAACTTAAGTAACTTATTTGACCATAGAGAGCTTCTTAAGTCTAGAAATAATATGCAAATTAGGCAAAGTGCTAGTTTGATGTTTAAAAGCCTGTCCTGCATGCTGCTTGGTAGAGCATTAGTCTTTTCTCAGCCTAACACTTGAGCATAATAATGAAGCAACATAAACTGATGTCCCATTTTACACAGCAGCAAAAGAATCCATTTAAATGCTATACATAATTAAATACACCTATTAGAGCCCCTTATGGCTTAACCCAAGTGTGATTAATGCAATACATAACTGAGTGACTCATTTAATTACCCCATAGGGTCTACAGCAACAGATGATTGAATCTTTCAATTAATTTTTCCGTTAAAGGGGATCTGCTTCTAGATGTGCTGCTAAATCACTGGAGACAAAAGATGTTTGTCGGAGTTCAGTTTACTTGGAAAATGTCAGGTTACATTATCACAGCATTTACCAGTTTTTATTTTCTGCAACTGTGGGGACTGTTTCACCACAAGGAAAGGTTGCATTTAGATTTGCTTTTATGCTTTTACAGACCCAAAACTAAGCATTTGAGCAGATGACAGCAATACAACATAAAATTTAGAAAGCTCCCACAAAATCTTTTGAGTTTTTTTTTTTTTTTTTTTTTTTAAACTTAAACCACCAGAAATGTGGATGACACAGGTTCTGTGAAAAGATAAAGTCTCCAAATTTCACCTTTACCTATAAGACAAAGCAGAATTTTCTTTGGGGACGTTGTTGGCACAAGGGATCTACGTCAATGATTCTGGCTAACCCAGTTGCTGGCTGCCGTGTATCCCTATGTAGGAGATGTATTTATAGCTCCAGGTGCATTAGGTACAGTATATGCTTCAAAGGGCCGAGCAGAATTAATGGACCTGTCGGACTGGAACTGAGCATCCCGAGCACCTCCCATTGGGGGAGACCCCCTTTTCACAACACAAGTGCTCATCAATTATGTCAGCCATCATAGGAAATTAGGTCCCGCTGTGCTTTAAAACTTATAGAGTCATTTCTGTTAAGTATATACACATAGAAAGATTCATCTTTCTTAAAAAAAAATGAATCTTTCATTGATAGCATACAGTTCTTAGCAGATCCACCCACAAGTGTCCTCATAGTTTGCGACGATCCTTTAACCTTGACCACATTTGCGAATACAGAAACTGTTCTTTCCATGTTCTGCGGTGCTTAACTGTGCCTTGCCTATTTCTGTTTTTAGAGACAGGAAGATCGGGGGCAGTAGAGAGAGACGACACATCTGTGCCAGAACAGTGACGCCCCTGTCCTGACCTGGATGAACAGAAAGACGGGAAGCAAGGTAGTGAGAGATGGCTGGCATACGCTGGCTAGGCTGGCTTTCAGGCACACCTTTTTACCCCAGGAGTCATTTTCTTTTTTCACACAAATTAGCAGTAGACAATGAACAGTTTTTTGAGGGCGTGTTATGTGAATTTTGTGAACTTTAACACTCCTTCTCTGCTTCTTCAGCAGCCTCATCAGTACGGATGTCTTTGACCCAGAATTTGCAACTCACTGCATGTACTTGTGAAACTTCTGGTAGTGTGCTAGTTTTTAGATGATGATCTGTGAATGTGAAAATGAATGTCCTCTAAATGCTAAACAGGGCTTTTTTTGGATGGATCAGTTCATACCGTCTGTGTATAAACCTTGTATGCATCACTTTTGGTGACTAGTGGCTTAAACTATATGTTATTTTGCATTGTTTCCTGATGTGCTTGTATCTTGACTATTATTTATCTATTTGACTTGCTTACAAAATGATTAAAACATCAAAAGAGAAGTAGCTATGAATGTTCTATTTATTTATTATCTTTTCGAGCACATTAGTAAGTTCTCTTCACATTTTCAAGCATTTTCTATAAATCTGATCTTCCACAACAGTAAGCATGCAGTAATTACACTTCTCTCCAGATGCATTTGGTACAGCTTTACCTTATAAGACATTGGTTCTATATGCTCTGTTGTTGTGTTGGTGGGTTTTTCTTGTTTGACTTATGTTAAAATCAGGTGTGTAGAATTCCATTGTCAGAGTTTGTAGAGCCTTCATGCTTTAAAACTAACTGAATAGTACCTTGCTGAATTTTGGTGTAGAGTCATGGCATTACACTAATAAATCCACCTTAAATATACAGTGAAATGTCTGTTTTAAACGTCATTAATTCAAGGATGTGTTTGTTGCAAACGGTAGCCTTTGTGCCACCTCCATCTCTGTCCTTGGAGAAAAGGGTAAAAACTAAGTGTTTTTTGTGCAGCATTACAGGAGCCCGCTCCTTTTTTTCTTTTTTTTTTCTGCAGTGTAAGTAGGGCTGCTAATTGCAGAGAGCAGGTTTCCATGAAGCTGAAACAATGTTTTGTCTCATCAGTGATTCTCTTACACAAGAAATCTCATGAATAATTCACAACGTTAAACTGTATTTCTAATATTTAGCTGTAGCTGCCAGTTATTCCAGACAAATTAATTGAGATTTGTACTAATAATATCTATTAGATAAGGCCATTTAAATAATTAAATTGCTCACAGTTTCGGAGGCTACACGCACAGAGCTGCAAAATGTTTCCTGCCTATCAACAGGTGCATTATCATAAACATTTCCACCACCGAGTGACGTCTGTACCTGTCGAGTATTTTTTTACAATACACGCCGTATTGCAATAAGGCTGTTTGAATCACAAAAGAACAACACAATTTTGCTTCTTCTGCCGAGGCAGTCTTGTTCGCGTTATGAGAAACAGGATAGAGCATCTTCAGTCTCCCAGTGCTCCCACTCAGCCCACCCACACACATCTGAGCCACACAGCACACTGCACAAACTCAAACTGCACATGCATTCTCACACAGGAAAAACACAACCCATACTTTAGCATGCTGATCCCACTCAAGTCACTCATTCTCGCTGTGACACACACGCACATCGCTGGTTGTGTCACCAGCTGTAGAGATAGGACGAGCAAGATCTTGCTTGCAGTGGTTTTGCAAAGCCAGAGTGCAAACACTTCCTTCTCAGGCTGACATTCCTCCTCCACCACAATCTCAAACGCATCCTCTATGGGTTTTACATGGACCTGTTCTTTCTTTTCTCCTACTCAGTCCCGAAGGTGCCATGGCCACGTTCTCCTGTCTCTTTAATGACTGTGGGTGAACAATCAATATTCTGCACACCTCCAAACATAGCACAACACCCACTTTGTGCTTTAGATTGAATTCTAAAAGTGAGGGAAAAGACAGGTTTTCCAAAAAAAAAAAAAAACGACCCTGGATTTCATGTAAGTCACAGTATTAATAGATCATCATGTGAGCCAGTTTGTAAAACACATGGTAGCCTCTCACATACCAGAGAGAAATAGTTCTGTCCGCTCCCTGAACAACTTATTAAGCAGAACCTGGACTATTTCAGGAGTAGATCATAGCGAATATCTGCTTGGCTGGTTCATTCTAATTCTCAGACAGCTTGTCAGTGAGAAAAGATCTCCTTGGTCTCCTGGGTGATAATTAGAGATGAATAAGCCAGGACAAACAGCAGGGGGCGCAATTATCTTCTTTCCAGTGGTTATGCCACTGGCCTCGCCATCTTAGGAGAGATGGCTTTTTTTTTTTTTGTACTAAGTAGGTTACACAACTGAGGAAATAATGAGAGGATATAAATAACTTTATTGGACCTTACTGCCACAGCTGCATAAGCAACACCTGGTAGTAAATCACCATAAAATAAAGCAATCCCTGTCCAAAGACAAATACATCAAAGGATATCAGCCTCATGTGTCACAGACTGCAAAGACACATTTTGTCACTTAGTGTTCACGAGGATGACATCAGTCGTGTTGTGGACCAAACGTGACAATGGTTTCTGTCATAACACGTTCGCCCAAACTGACCGAGACACACAGGCTCAGTCTGTTCCCCGTCTCTCTTTCTCCACTGACTTGCAAAGTGTCCGGCTTGATTTAGAGCGTGTTAGAAGATGAGAGGAACAGGGAGGTGCTGCTTTTAGAGAGGCCAGAGGTGGAGGGGAGAGGTTCGACTTTGATGGCTCACTACACAGGACTGTGAGCCCTGGGAGAGCTCCGGCCGGCAGCTGCAGTTCCCACAGTCCCTGTCGACCACGCTTCCTCCTCTGCATAAAACCTCCCCTTTGTCGTCCAACACAAAAATGCTCTTAAAAGAAGAAAAGAGAAAAAAAAAACACTCAGAACAAAAGATTTTCTAAAAGTGGATGAGATGACTTATAATGCAAGTGACTCATCAGTGCATGCGAACTAATCTCCAAAATAAACAGAGAAAAGATTGATGAAACATATGGGCCTTTTATACTTGGCGTCTTGTCTGATATAATAAAAAGTGACAGCCAAGCTCACAAGAAATCCCATGGCAGATTGGCAGTCAGTAGAAAGATCTGCAGCACCAAAATCCAAATTTGGCTTTTTATAATTATGCATTTTTGTCTTTCTATTGTTTTATTTTGTTGTTGTTTTTCTTTTCTGAAAAGCACCTGATGTTTTCCTTTTGTTCAACTTTTGGCTCACGTGTTGCTCTCCTTTTTTTTTTTTTTTTGTCATGCATATTGGATATTTAAATGACAGGCGATAAAGAGAGCTAAAGTGGAGTGATATACAAGCCACAATTTAAATGTCAAAAAACACTTTTGTTGGCAGCCTCTCCTTAAATGTTCTTTCCTGCTGTTGATTTCTCCTCCACCACTTCACTGTCTTTACGTAGCTTCTGCGCCACCTAGAGGACAAAGTAGATACAAGTCCATCTTTTTGTGCATACTCTCGATTTGTTTTTTCCCCGTTATGTTGCGCTCAGACAGGTGCAATACAGAGGATCATGCGTCTGAGATGGTGTTGAAGAAAACAAAATGCTTCCAGGCTTGATGCTTCTGTCGGCGGCTCAGCTCCAGGTTTTGGTTGCTAAGTGACAAATTGTGAGTTTATTGCGAGGCTCCAGTTCAGAGAGGAGTTTACACAATGTGACAAAGTGGGCCAAAGGGGGGGGAATGAGTGGTTTTTCAATCTCAGACATTTCAGAGCTTTAAGTGGGCTCCTCTTAGACCTGCTGAAGCACAGAATTTCTTCCCAGCAGGGGTTTTGTGCAAAGTAGCGCAACTCCATATTGAATTTAAAGCTCAGATGGTTTACTTACAAAAAAAATACTTTTTTTTTTTTTTTTTTTTTACAATCTTTGAATAGTAAAAGACACTTTAAGATAAATAACTGCCCCCCAAAAAAGCAAACACTGTTTTCTTTGAGCTCTGTTTTTGAAAGGGCAACGTGGAGTGGAAAAGAGGAGCTCATCTACACTATGTCTCTGTCTCACATGAACACACACACACAGACACACACACAGTTGGCTGTTGTTGGCCGTGACTGGGGTGCTGTGAGCAGAGTGGGGCTCAGTGTGACCAGGCAGAGGCCAGTGTTGCAGGCAAGCAGGCGGTGGGGAGAGTGTTGAGCCGCAGAGACGTGCCCAGGGTGGATAAACCATGCTTACTAAGTGGGAGAAAGACTCTGCCCAGGACACAAGATGAAGGTGGAGAGGAAGCCCTCCTCTACAGACGACAGTTTCACTGACATTCCTCCGCTACTGACGCTCCTTGGCCTCCTCCTCCTCCTCCTCTTCACAGGTAAGTCCAAACATCTGTTTTCATATGCAGTGGAAAGATGGTGAGAAAACTCCTAGAGGTTGCTATGTGTTGTATCACGTCTAATCAAGTGGAATTGACTTTGAAATAGCCAGATTTATCAATATAAGCTAAGAAAAGCCTGGCTGGGCCTTTTATCAGTAGTTAGAAATCCTGTCATTATCTTTTTTTAATTAGTGTGTTCATATACTGGACTACTTTGTTTGAATACTTTATTTTTGTGACACCAGAGCAAAACTCACATCCTTGCTCTCATTGAAATAAAGCTAATCCAGGTTAAGTTCATCGCAGATGCTTTTCTTTCTTGTCCTTGTGTTCAATGGGTATGCAGCACAATGGATTCGTTCACGGGTACTGCTCAATATTGAACTCCCATTTTAAGCTCAAAGGAGCCTGGAGAGGCCATTGAAGGTGTGTAAGAAGGGGACATATAGGTTAAGTGTGATGATTAAAAAAAAGTTCTGTGGAGAGCTGTTGAATTGGGCCTGCTTTTGTGCGTGGGAAGCTTCGGTTGAGTTCATTCGAGTAGTGATCAAAAGTCGAAAGTTTTTTCACGTGAGGATTTTTTTCGGTTTAAAAAAATGTGTGGTTTGATTGCAAAATTGTACCATGTAACCAGTTTACCCAACGAGGCCAGTTTAGGTTTTTGAATCACTGGATCCTGTGTCTATCTCCAACTTCACCAGTGACAAAGAATTTTTCTCTCTCTCTCTCTCTCTAACCCTCTCTCACTCTTTTCAAGGGAGGAAACTAGTCTCAACAATCATGCCCTTTGTCTTATTGCCTTGGCAACCCCTGTCAGGCGGACCAAATGGTTACCACGGCATTGAGGCGATGCCCTACTAACTGCCTCACTGCAAAGAATAGTGAACAGTGCAGAGTCCCTCTCTCCTCTCTCTCTCCTGGGTTGATCTCTCCATCACTGAGGCCGAACAGTAGGATGCCCCTCACAGGCCCACGGCCAATGTTTAGACCTCCATGTGTCCAGCTACAGCTGAGTTATAGGAACCTCCACTGTGAACATAATAGCTTTGCTGTGTTTGGTTTCCTAGACAAGGCGCAGCTATAAAAGTTGAAATGTGTCTCTCACTATAATACCTTATTCCTGCATCCCTGCAGGAGGTGAAGGACAGCTGGGGGACACAAATCAAAATTAGTGTATTGCTTGTTCACTCCAAGAGGTCGTGAGGAATTCCTTGGGGGGGAGGAAGGTTCTGAGAAACAGATTCAGGATCAAGACATGACTTAACATCTTGGACCTGAGTAAAAGCAAACGTGTGCACATGTGAGTTTGCTTGCATGCGAAGCATACAATAAGCTGACTAATGAGTGTTGTAAGGCAAAAAAAATCCTGGAATTCCTGATCACTAAGCCTGCAAAGAAGAAAAAACATCCAAGAGCTAAAAAGTGAAGGCCCTTTGTGATAGAATCAACTTAAAAAGCACTTGTTTAAATAAAAAATAAAAAAAAGAATCAGGATGTTATTCAATGTTTTACTTACATCCAAAATGAGTGTTGTTAAAAGTGGATAAAAAGTGACCCTTATTTATTATTTTTCTCATACAGAAACACAAAGTTTTAAGCAGTGGTGGAAACAACAGTGGAATCCCCCCTTGTAGGATCCCCTTTTCTATTCTAATAATGAATAAAGTCTGGAAAAAAAGGTCCTCCTGCACATGTAGGTCAAGTGCAAGCATTTACATATTCAGAATTAATGACCTCTTGCATCTTAATAGTGAGTGGTGACTGTGGAGATCTTGTTAAAAGCAATTAGCTGCGCAAATAAAATGTGCCTACAGTCCAAGAGTCACAAGTTAAAGTACTCAGTTTTAACAATTTTACCATTGATATTTCAAGTTAACACATTTTTAAGCAGAAAATAAACCAAGTAGAGGAATATGTACAATATTTTCATGCAAAACACAATGCCTTGTGTGTAGGGAGGAAAAACGAATCTCACAAATAGCACTATGTCAGTAAAATTAAAGTGCCTAATTAATGATCTGGAACCGTGTAAATGTTATTTTCCACCCCTGCTGCACAAAACCATTGTCTTATTGTGGTTCTGATTTTTCATTCATGTTTGCACTGGCAGTAATTGTATTAATTAGCGTTGCAGTAATTTGTATGGCTGTTGCATTGTTTCTCAGTTTGTGATCTCCGCTCGTTGGCGGAGCATCAAAGGCTGCTAAGTGACTGCTTTCTGTCTCCCTAAACAACACTGTACCCTCCTTGTATTCTTTTCTAATTTGCTTATTAGTTCAAGTTCTCACCAGTGCGTCTTTGCCGTTTTTACAGGTGAAGTGTCCGGAGTGAATGTGACCAGCCAAGCCCAGGTGGTGAGGGGCACAGTGGGCAAGGAGGCCCTCTTATCAGTCAGCTACTCCAGCAGCAGCTCTGACAAACCTGTCATTAAGTGGCAGCTGAAGAGGGACAAAGTGAAACCTGTCACTGTTGTACAGTCCATAGGAACAGACATCATAGGGAACCTGAGGCCGGAGTACAGAAACCGCATCCTGGTGTTTGAGAATGGCTCGCTGCTGCTTCACAACCTGCAGCTGTCAGACGAAGGGGCGTATGAAGTGGAAATCTCCATCACAGATGACACCTTCACTGGAGAGCACTACATTGAGCTCACTGTGGACGGTATACAGAATTACTCACTTTTTAAGAGAGCTGGCTGTTCAGATGATTCAGAACATCTGAGCAATCAGGGCAGGACACTGAGGAGGAGTTATGAGCTAAAAGAAAATCGATACAATTTGAAAACACACTGTAAAAGCTGAACACTGCAATGTTTGGGGGGGTTTCTAGCAATTTACTCTTGTTACTGTACAGCTTCTCCCTGTTTTGTGAAATTACAGATAATAACTGCTAAAATCATTTTTAAAAAGTAATCATTTATATGTAAATCTCAGTTGTGTTAACCAAGTGTTCCTGATTTAAATGAGCAAAAAATAGCATTGTTTTGCAGATATTTCAAACAAATAAATACATTTAAAAATGTGATGACAAGGATTAAATTATTTTAAATAATTTTTAACTGTCATTTTACAGATTTTTCCTGTTTGGTAAAATACAGATACGAATTGTTAAATTGCAGAACTAAGTGTTCATCAAGTGTTAATAAAACCCTTAAATAAAACAGGACAAAACTTGAATAATTTCCTCAACAAAAATCTGTATTTTGCAAATGGCAATTTCTTCTTTTACAATGTTTTATCATAAAGTCATTAAAATAAATAAATAAATAAATAAATAATAGCTATTTTTCAGATATTTGCCATTATTTGAAAGAAAAATATATAATATATTAAGGATTGAGAAAGGTAAATAAACTTGAACTGTTATTTTGTGTGTTTTACCTTTTTTTTTGCAATTACTTACCATAAAATGATACTGTTTTACTGTATATAAAGCATCAAAAAATATCTTTACAGACATATTCTATTATTTTCACAGATTTTATAGCTTTTGTTACAGATTTCTTTTTGCAGTGTACATTATCTTGCTTAGACAGACTTTATCTCTAGTTCTGTAGTTTACTTTTTTAAGGGAATTGTACAAAGTTATTCACAGTCTTGGTGGTGTTCTTTTAAAGACGCTAACTTTGATTGCACCCATCAGTTGTTCATAAATAACAAGAGGCCCGTCACCCTCTCAAATGTTTTGAATTTAAATCTCAAGCCCCCTCTGTGTCTTTGTCCTGTCATCCTCCTCAGTTCCTGTCTCCAAACCTTACATCCAGATGATGGCCTCTTCAGTCCTGGAGTACAGCGAGTACTTCAACCTCCACTGTTCCCACGATAACGGCACAAAGCCCGTCTATGGCTGGCTGAAGGGAGGCAAGGTGCTGAGCAATGACTCGCGACTGCTGCTCTCACATGACCAAAAGGTGCTGACCATCTCACGCGTCCTGATGTCAGATGACGACGTTTACATCTGCACTGTGGAAAACCCCATCAGCAACATGAAGAGCATCCCTGTCAAGCTCACTGTCTACAGTAGGTGGCACGTTACACTGGTAGGATCTTAAGTTATACAAGTTGACATTAAGAATGAGGAGATGATGGTATAGTAACATCTGGTAGGATAAATGTGCAGGAAGTACTTAGAATACGTATTATGTGGCAACACTAGAGTGTAGAAATAATCCACTACTAGGGAAAGCTTTGGATTCAAATGCAATTATTAACATCAAAATGTACCTAAAGTGTTAAATGTGAAAGTGCTCAGTAAGCTGAATGTCTTTAGTTGGTGTTATATTATTATATGTATTGTGCAATTATGGTCTTATTACCTATGCTAATGACCTGTAACAGCTTTTACTGTATGTTTTAGGTGAGATATCAGGTAGTTTACTCTATAAAAATGCATTATGTTAATCTGCAAAGTAACTTGACTCTAAAAAGTAATTCAAAGGACCGATTCCCTTAACTTATTAAATGCATGGTTACAAGATAAAATTCCAATTTACTGATTTTGATAAATCTCTTAAGTTGCAAACATTATTTTGATGGGTTGGGTTGACATAATGATGTTGCATTGACTTAATATTTGATGTAGTTTAAACTCAAATTTCTGCATTTGTAGATTTAAGACTAAATTCAGGTTGAGATTACTGAATCAAATTGGCTTGATAACTATGTTTTTTCTTCACCTTGACATCTGGATTTCAAGTCCCATCCCAAGATTATTTTTCACATTTTCCAACTTAAAGCTTGTGCTCATAATTATGGTAATTAACCCTTACGCGCTGTTCATATTTTATGCCTTCACAGTACTATACAGTAGTACAGTAGCATCATAATGTGAAGAATTCCTGTCAAGAATTCCCTCATAGTAAGTCTCTATACCAAATGTTAAACTACAGATCTATTAACATTATCTAAATAGATGACATCACATCAATAAATGTAGATTTAAAAAATACATATAACACATGGCCTCTACAGTTTCATAGTTTCAAGATTCCCTAAAACTACAATTTTCCTTGAACCACATTTGAACCACCAATTTGTGAAATTTGACCCAAAACACCCTCAGTGTACAAAAAAACTGTAGCACCTGGACAGAAGTATAACATTTAAAAATATTTTCATTTTCATGTATTTTGGATCACTGTAGGAAAAGTCATCAAATTTCAGGCTAAAAGACGTTTGGGGTATTTTTACTGCTGTCAAATGTCAAAACGGGTCAAATTTGACCCAAAACAATATGTAAGGGTTAAATACATAACATTTAAAAAAATGTTTTGAATAACATGGAAATACTAATTGGAACAACTTCATTTTTAGGAGTAATCAACCTAAAAACTTTTGTTTATGCCACGAGTTATTAATTATGTTGTAATTAACAAACCTTTGATCGCAGAAGAAAAGCCAATTCCTAATTGTAGTCTGTTGGTTGAACATAATTTCATTAGAAATTGTCCTAAATCAAAAAGATTGATGAAACTATTATATTGACTTTTTCTGTCTAGCCCCAGTATTTTTTAATCGTGTAGAAAAGTAAAATGCTATGATTTTTAGCTCTGAAATGGATTCGGATTTAAAGTCGAAATGCAAAGTACTCAAAATTGTACTTAAATGAGTAAATATACTTTTCTTACATTCCACTGGTGGTTTTTAGGTGTAATTATTCCTGTCAGCACTCCCAGCAAATTTCCAAATATGTGCCCAGTGAAAATTATGCATATTTCATCTCATTGTTCACAAACCCTCCATTTATTTTCAGCAGCCAGCAGAAGCAATTATCATCTCAGGCTGACCCGTACACAAGCACGCCGGCCTCCCTAACAATGTTGTTTACAACGAGCGCAAATCCAGGCAGTGATTGTAACAGAGTTGGCTCAGAGCGGCAGTCACTGGGCGCCAGTGTAGTGCCACATGTCGGGCTGAGGGAGAGGGAGAGGCAGTTCTAATCCAATGAATGGACAGTTATTTATGAGGAGAGAGAAGAAAAAGAAGGCAGGTGGGGAGGACGCTTTGCCTCAGTGGACCTCAGTAATCCTGACTTCATTATTGCTGTACTCTGATGTGCTGCATGAAGAGACAGCTACAGGCCCTCAGACTGCTCTCTGTTCCCTCTGCATGCACAGCAGCGTGGCACAAAGTGACTACCTTAATGTGCTGCATGACTGCTCACTATTCATTCCAACATACTCAAAACCTGGTGAGCGAAGTACAAACCTATGCCGTGTTTCATTTCCTTGAAGTTGCAACCTCATCTAATCCTGCAAACCGGGAGGAGGGGGGGAGAAGAGGAACAGACTGGCAAAGGTTTTATTAAAAATGTGACGTTTCTATATGTGAAACAAAAGTTCAGTCAGAGTGTTACTGACACAAACCTCTCGCTTTTATTCTTTCCTTCTTTGTTTTCCTGTCTACTTCTCTGTATCACTCGGGTTTAGGACGGAGCTCGCTATACATCATCCTGTCCACCGGGGGCATATTCCTCCTAATCACCCTGGTGACAGTGTGTGCCTGTTGGAAACCTTCCAAGTAAGGCCCACTCTTTTACCTCCTTCTCTTTTCCCCTCTTTTCTCTCCCCTTCTCTTTCTTTTTCATTGGCTTTGATATTGCACTTAAGGATGTGGCTAGAATCTCAAGTAGCTCAGCTGTGTCGCTATAATGTAACACCAGGGACATTTGGTGGTAGTATGACAGTGAACGGTGACTTGTAGCTTGAATGAAAGGTCCCTCAGTGCCAAATTTTAGGTGTGTTTTTTCTGTTGGTTTGTTTGTTTGCTTCTTATGTTTTGATTCATTTTTCTGTCACAGAAAGAAGCACCGACCTGTCCCCCAAAGAGCTCCCATCTATGTGGAGCAAAGTGAAAACGGCCATGATGGTGAGCAACAGGAACAGCTGTAAAAACATGTCATGCAACGCAAATTACAAACTTAAATTGTGATCAGAATGTCAATCAGTACGATAACACATCTTTTGCAGTTGATGTTGTACCTAAACCAACCACACTTGGTCGAAGAAGTCCCATGCCTCTTTATGTTCTCAACGAAGACGTAAGTCAGTCCTTTATCTAAAAATTTCCATTTAGCAGCTTTGCAACAGTAAATGCAACAGTTTCCAGCCATGTCAGAGGCTCTGGTAGACGTCAGCATAAAAACACGCTCAGAAGGAACACAGAAAAATTGTGAAGTCATGCAGGTATAATGTATTATGTTCCCCATCCGTCTTTTATATGCTAGCATGCAAACATTTGCTAATCAGCTCAAAGTACAGCAGTTTTACATTTTTTATTTAGTCAAGTAAACTTCCATAATCAATAATACTGTAGGGATTTAACCTTGCTATTGAATTTAGTCTGGTAAATTAGCATTTAACATGATTATCTACGATTTTAACTTTAATATTCAGATTACTCGGGCTAATTTACATTATAAACAACTGTTTAGGGTCTTTATTTGCAAATTTGCAGCCTCAGCAGTCTTGTTAAATCTTATTTGGGTCACCAGCTGTTAATTTAAATGTGCTATATAAATCACTGACTCAGCCTGATGGAGCTAAATGAAAAATTAAATGACCGTGAAAGCTGTTCTTCCTGCAGAAACTATGAACGTCTGTACGACAGCTCAGTGCACAAACATTAACTTCCTTGTGGCATCACTGAAAAAACAATGAGAATGCTAATCGGTTATCAAAATAAAGAGTTCATTTGCAAAAACAGATAACTCTATCTTCACAAACCTTCAGAAAACCCACTTTTCCACCGTCTGCCTGAGACAATAACAATCAAACTTAAGTTCATTTCTACTGAGTCAAATTCACTCAACTTCAGTTTGATATTATCTCAAGCAAACAACAAAAAATACGTTTTCTGAAAATCTACAAAAATAGAGTTATCTGTTTTTGCAAACTCTTCAAATAATTCCCTGAAAGCCAAAAAATGCTGGTGCTGGAGCTGGACGTAAAGTCAGGGGATCCTCAAAGTTATTAGGATTCATTCAAGTGCTGCACTGACCAACAGACTGCCATCCATAGCCTCATGGTTGTAAAAAAAAAAAAAAAAAAAAGCTAATGTTCTGGTACAAATATTGGCTTCTTGACATGATTATTATAACTAAACCAAAACATGTGACGGTGACTTTCACACGTGTATCATCATCTCATTTCAGGAGACTCTGGAGCGTTTGGAAGAATGTTCTGGCAACACTGTCAGCCAATCAGAAATCAGCATCCCTGCTACTTATGCTCCAGTCCTTCCCCCTTCCTCCAACAGAACTGAGCGGCCTATCTGGTCTGCCCCGCGCAGGTACCCCCGTAGCCCCTCTCCTCTTGCACAACCTCTTCCTCAGCCCCTCCCAGGTCCTCCCCTGCGCCCCATCCGCTCCCCCGCTCACTCCCCAGGCTCATCTCCACGCAGTTTCAGCCCCATAAGAAAGGTCCGTACTCCGGTGGGCATCCCGACCAGCCACCTGCCTGTAGAGGCCGAGTGCACAGATCCGAGCGATCAGGATCACTGTCCATCGCAGCACTGACAGCTGCTTGGAGATGTGAAGTCTACGTGTAGTTTGTTGGTCTTTTGTTGCATTCTGCCATGAGAGTAATGGATTTGATGCACTAGAGTAAGAGATGAGTTCACTTTCAGCTAACTGTCTGTCTTCATAATCTGTTATTTATCATCTCTTTTCTTGTGGCTATGCACAGTATTTCTGTGGTCTCGTGATTATATCCTTATAAGAAAAGTTATATCCTGTCCACCAGCTTGTAGTATATCTTGTATATGAGGCTGAGGCAGTAAAGAATTTCAAGTTCTGATATATATTTTGCTCCATGTTGAATTATGAATTTTACCGGGACGTTTTGATATGTGCCTGTACATATGTAAGTTAATAGTTTTTAAGGGTTGTTTGTTTTGTTTTGTTTCTTGTCAGTGTCGTTTGTTCTTTTAGGCAATTAAACCACACACTGTATTCTGATTTCACATTAGGTCATCTTATAACCTCAGGTAATAAACACGATTGAAATAGTTGTGTGTGTCGTCTGCTTTCTTAACAATCGACACCACAACTTTTCTTACCTGATGTCTGCAATTTATTATTCATCATACAAGTAATGATGCCGCAAATCTTCCTTTTACTTTGTTTTGTTCCTGAATGATATCTGCCGTTCTTGATTCCAAGTGTAATTCCATTCTGGTCCATTGGGTGTCGCTCACACATTTCCTTAAATATGTATTTTAAGGCACACTGGTCAGGCAATTTGGAAATTTCTTTTACATTTGTTTCTTTTTATAAACTTTTGACGAACATTTTTGATAAATACAGTATATAACAGCCAGCATATAGTATTTTGGATTATATTGTGCAAGGTTATCTATTATTTTTTGGATGTCTTATTACCATCTTGCCTTTCGTTTTGCCCTCCATGTCCTCCATGAGCAGCTGGTCGTCAGTTACTTGACGTAAGGAGGACAATTAGAATCAAGTGTTGTTTTAAAGCACAGTTATATCTTAAGCGTTCATGAATGATATAAAATAAATACTAATCAGCTTCACGAGGAGGCTTTAGGCTAATCATGTGAGGTCAAGACAGTCAGTCTTGGACGCAACGCAATCATGTAGCCTCCACTTGATTTTCTATAAATATATAGAACAAAATCACAGATTCACTTCAAGGAGCTTCGCAGCGCAGCATATGGTACTCTCTATTCTTAGATAGATTCATTAGTTTGGATCAAGTAAAACTCATAGCCAAAAAGCATGAGGAAGAACAAGAGGAGGGATGCCTGTTCCTGGACAGAAAGCCAGGCAACATGTGCACAGATTAGCCAACTTAGTAAATTTGCAAAATATAAAATCAAGACAAGAAAATCATAGATAAATTCAAAATATACACATGTGAATAATATGCATCCAGGAGGATTTTGAGCAACTTTCAGGTGCAGCAAAATAAAAGAGAAAAACACAGAAGAGGCAAGACCACCATTTATACAAAAAAGGAGATAAGAAACAAACATATGAAAGGGAAAAAGGTTATAATTTCAGACAAAAGCTGTTTCTGGAAATTCATAAATTGGGTAATATGTGGCAACTCTATCCATGCAAAAGAGTGACAATTACTTAATACAGGGTTTATTTTATTCACAGTACGGTGCACAAAAACACGGACTGACAGCATGGAATTAAAAGATCGAAAAGATTAAACGATGTACAGACGTGCATTTAGATGCAAGGTACACGTTTGGGTTGGAGTGTACAAACACGAGTGCATGAAGTGGTCTGTTCTGTCACTATTATCAGGATAATGTGTTCCCTTCAGAGCTCCAGCTGGACATCTTTTGTCATTAAAATCTGCATGATTTTATCGATTGCTTTTATCCTGCAATGTATCTTCCGTCACTAAAGGTGTCAGTCTTGCGGTTGCGTAATCTGTCTGTTTTGATCTGGGGCTTTGCAGTCTTTGTTCTGTTTGAAACACCATTTATTCCTTGGCACACAGACTCATAAATACACATGAAGCATTATCGCGGCCTCACACGAGCACACATGTGCATATTCGCCTGTGGCTTACAGTGAAAATGAATTGTCCTCAGATAATAAAAGTGAGTCATTCTTATTAAGTTTGAAAATCGCTTTTAATCTATTTTGACCTCACATACTGTGTATTAGTCATTGGTATATTAGTCCCATCATGCTCCACCTCACCTTCAGTTCAGCAGAAGAGCTGGGAAGTCGGGCCAGTAATTAGACTCTGGGGAACAGCATCACATCTGTGCAAACGGTATGTGTGTATGTGTTGGTGTATGAGCAGGTATCTGGGGAGACGGCGTCCTATGAAATGAATAGAGAGGATGTATGATGCTCTCCATATCTAATTAATTACCTCCTCCTGCTGCCTGGTTGAGCCTTCTTACCAATGCCCTTGTTCACACCAACCTGTTGATGTGAGATTCCCAGTAGAGGTGGGTGGCTGTATTGTTGGAAAGCTCTTATCTAGCTTTTTCTTTCTTTTTTTTTTGGTCTAGTCCAGGATGTAGTTCATAACAGCACCAGTTTTGGTCTCTATTTAGGTCAATGAATAAAAATAAAAGAAAGGAGCTCTGAGTGGCAGAAGGAAATTATCTGACATCGTGACTCAAAACCCTGTTTTTGTGCAACTCTTAATAACTTAAACCTCTGCGTTTTTCTTAATATACCTTGTTACCTACTTCCTTTTATTGAAACTTGCATTCTTTTTTAATGTCCTACTACTGCTACTTCTGTCCATTCAGCACCTATTGCAGGTCGGCCTTCAATTTTGGGATATTTCTTCACTCCAACATTTTCATTTTACTTTATGCTTCACTTTCTACTATATTAGAGAAGTAAATATGGTGCTTTTTTTCTCATCCACATTTTCATAATTGAATTAATAATATGCAATTCTTTATTATTTAGTATTAATTAATTAAGTATTAACCAGCAATACATGTTTTTAAACTTGCTAATATCCACTTTTCTTGGATCTAAGAGTTAATAAAAACTACACCATAGCAAAAAGTCTCCATTTAAAGTCTCTGAGTTTCCCCTTAAATAACTATCTGTGACCTAAAAGAGGTCAAGTTAACTAATTTACAAAAAAAACAGCAAACATGAAAGAACATCCCAAAGAATGCAATAATAAAAGACACAACTTTGTTTATTCTTCTCTTTAACCTCATGATGTAGCTTGTGATGCCAAAAATGTATTCTTTTTTCATTATATGTTGCATAGTAAAAACCTTTTCCTTTAATACTGTGAGTTTATCAATACTTACTGATCTTTTTACTGTCTCCATCGCTCCTGTTGAGCAGATAATTCCACCTAACCAAATGTAAATGTTGTATGTTGCACTAACAATAAAACTAGAATGAAATTAAATGAGATGCCACATCAGACTGTTACCAAATGTTTTGAACATGTTACAAAATATTAAAAGAACATGTGTTTCAACATTTATGTATTTTAACCCGCACTTGATCAGTTATAAAGCGTTGCTAAAAATAAAAGGCACCTTTAAATCTTCTCAAGTGCTCTGCTGAACTCATCTGACCAAACCATCTGGCAGACCTGTTATCAACAATAGAGTGGATGAGTGGACTGGGGAGGGCAACCCACAAGCACACACAGGATCAGATGAACATGCACATATATGTACATACAAATGCAAGACAAATGTAGTTGACAAAAACAAGGCCACTTGAAAACATGGCCCTCCTTAGCTCAGAAGTGCAATCCCCTTGGTAAGATATGATTTTCTGTGAAGAATGGTTGTATGCTCTAATCAGTGTTATCTTTATGCATCATGCATCTGCGGAGCCACTAGCAAATGCTTGTTTATTCATTCTTTAGCCAGGTTTCAATCAGACAGCGTTGTAGTAAACAATTTGGATTCAGTATTTGATAGCGTCATAATGTTTGTATGTTTTCTCCCTTGAGACTCAGTGACTCAGAATATGCAGATAAGAGGTTCGTGAGCAGCCCAGGTAAAAGCCCAGCACCACTTAAGACATTAGGGTTGTCTTTTTGTTCTCCATAGCAACGGTGCCATGGCAACCAGTTACAAGTGCCAGTTATATTCACAGTATGCCATACCCCTCTGGCTCCCTCACACATACCCTTCCTCACCAGCTCCATCACTTGCAACCTCTCCCTCTCTCTCCCTCTCTCTCTCTCCTCTCTTTCTCTTTGCATATGAGAGTTTGTGCCTGAGCGTGTCTGCATGTGAGTCAGCTGCATCCTCAGCACCTGGGACATTACCTCCAGCCTCCACAGGGGAAGCTGCACCGCCAACACTGTGAGTTCAACAGATGTGCTGATGCTTTGCAATGTTTTCACTGTGATTTATTACCTGTATAATGAGTATAATGTTTTATGTTTGAATGCTTTGAGTTGAGTTGCATTGCACCAACTGTGTACTATGCAAAATAATGTTTTTATTTCAGTTTATGCACTATCTTTTATACTTGTTTAAATACTAACATTTTGCTTTAGTATTCATCTTCATCATGCTCATGTTTGTTATTGCCTGATGTCATGATTCACTGTTTACAACCAGCTCAGCTGTATTTATATGACTTTATAGGGGGGAAAAAAATGTGTGTCCTCCTATTTGTTAATCTAGTGCATCCAAAGGAAAGGATCCTGCGTGGTGGCTCTTTACGGTTGTCATCAAGGACTCCAAAACAAAACCTCTGTCGTTGTGTCAGAGAGGAGAGGGAGGTCAACATGGGCTCCAGCTCCTCCTCTTACGCCCCCAAAGCCATTTACCTGGATGTGGACGGGAAGGTGCAAAAGGTGGGTCCAACTCCAAGTATGTATCATTTTTGGGTTTGTTTGTTTGTTTGTTTGTTTGTTTGTTTGTTTGTTTGTTTGTTTGTTTGTTTGTTTGTTTGTTTGTTTGTTTGTTTGTTTGTTTGTTTGCATTGTTACATTTAGGTTCATTCTCTACATTTCATCTACGATGCAACATGGGATGTGTGAAATGGGGAAAAAAGTTTTATAGATATGCAAATCATTTTCGCATGTGTTTCTTAAGGTTTAGATTGCAAATATACAGATTCAACAGATTTTATTAATGTTTGAATAATGCTATTATATAACACTTACTGTAAAAATAAATATACAGTATTGATCTAAAGCCTTTTGATTAGTCCCTGAACTTACCAGAACTGTGTTTTTAAATGGATTATGTATCAAAGTATAAATAAAAATTACATGCAAAGCTGCTTAAATTAATGTCATGTGGGTAAAACAAGTCCAAAACATGTTAATAATTGTCACTTTAAAGATTCATCCAGTCAGTTTAAACTCATTTTACTATTTTACAATGTTAATGACAACTTGATAGTAGGTTCAATTACAAAACCAACCTTAACTGACTATGGCAATTAAGTAATTCTGTTTGTGACTCACCTTGTAGACTTGATAGCAG